TTATATCTGGGAAGACTACTGTTCAACACAGTAATAAGTATAAGAAAAAGGATAAGTGTCTCTTTTGGAACATGTGGAGTGTATGTATGTGTGATTATATAGGGGTAAGGAGAGAAATGCAGGTAGAGGATATGGGGAAATTAAGAATTAACTTGATTTTAAATTTTTGGTTGATTTGGTTATTGCTCCAATGAAACATCAAAAGTAAACCTATCTAATGGTAGTTTCAGAAGCCTAGTGTGAAGTTAACTGAAGATTCTGAAACTGTCATTACATAGGGGCAATTAAAGCCGGGGCTGGGGAAGCAGCTCAGTGGAAGAGCACTTGTCTAATATACATGATACCTGGAGTTCAATTCCCAGTACCACAAAAATAAACAAAAAACTATGAAAACAAATGAAACTGCCTAGCTGGAAGATTGTAGCCATTTAAGATTAGACCAGATCACAAACTAATCTGCCATGATCAGCCCCTTTAGGGACGATCTCATTCAGGTAATGTATGAACTGGAAAGGAAATAAACAGCAGCAAAGAGACAAAATAGAAGTTACTTCCTCTTCAACCACAATGCAAATATCATAGAGCAAACAACAGTGGAATCTGATCAGTTTTATACTACTGTAAGCCAGTACTGCAGGACCTCATAGGTTTCGCTCTTTTTGGAGCTCATCAGCTGCAGGTAACGGCTCAAATCTGCTCTGATACAGTCTACCTAAATAGCACTATGATTCAGAATGCCTTCAATCAGTCTTCTATTTGTTATATCCCCCCCCAAATTTTTAAAATGTAATTCTCAAGTATTGTTTATACATTTATTTATTTTGTGTGAGTATGCTTACTATGTGTTTGGCTGAGTGTATACCATGAAGTGTGTGTAGAGGCCAACTTGCAGGACTAGGTTGTCTCCTTCCACCATGTGGGCTCTGTGGATTGATCTCAGGTGATCAAGCTTGGCAGTAAGCACCTTTACCCAGAACTACTCTGAAGTTCTGAGGGAAGTACTTTTCAGATACAGGTTAAAAAAAAAGAAATGCAGAGGTGCAAGAAGATCGTCAGTCAGCCCTCCTATCCTTAGCTGAAATTCTCTAGCTAAGGGAGTTAGCAGCAACCCCCATCCCTACCCCTGCCCCAGCCTTTCTGTTCTGATTGGAAATGCCAGATCAGCAAAGTGTTTTTCATGCTTGTGCAAAGACCTAAGTCTGGGAACTACATAAAAAAAACCACTAGGTATGGTGACACATACTTGTTATCCTAACTCTCAGGAGGCAGAGACAGACAGATCCCTGGGGCTCACTGGCCACCCAGGCCAGCCTGGTGAGCTCCAGATCAAAGAGAGACCTTGTCTTAAAACAGAACAAAAAAAAAAAAAATAAAACAACAGAAAAGAAAGGTGGGGCTGACAAGATGGCTCAGCAGACGAAGGCACTTGCCATACAAGCCCGGTGACCTCAGTTTGACCCCCAGAACCCACGTAAAGGTGGAAGGAAAGAACTGACTCACAAAGTTGTGTCTTCTGACCTCCACAGGAGTGCTATGGCACACACATATACATCACTCACACACATAAATATAAATAAATAAATAAATACCAAGGAGAATAGCTCCTAAGGAGCAACATGAAGCTGACCTCTGGCCACCACAACCATGCACCACCCCCCATACCAACATGAACACAGGAACACACACAGTAAATAAAACCCCATTTCTCTCTTTCATTTACTCTCAAAATTCAAGGGGTAATTCAAGACTGATGGTGGGCATGACAACTCTCATTTTTTAGACCTATATTCCTAACTAACTCCGAGACATGAGTCTTGGCCTACTGCTTTGATTTCTAGTCTCTTCCCACTGTGTATGCCATTGTTACTGTGCATTTCAGTTCTTTTCAAAACCCAGTATTTCATTATTGTTATTTTTATATATCCTTTTATAGCTCAAATAATTTTCTGTCTAAAGTAGATTTTTTTTTCCCCCAAACTCCTTTTTGGAGAAGGACTTTTAGAAAGACTCCAGTAATGGCAATTTTCTGTTTTGTTACTTCAGAATGTCTTTTTTTTTGGTCTTTTTGAGACAGGGTCTCGCTGTGGCCCCAGCTGTCCTGAAACTTGCTATGTAGATCGCGCTGGCCTCGAACTCACAGAGATCTACTTGCCTCTGCCTCCCTGAGTGCTGGGATTAAAGGCATGCACCACCATGCCCAACAAAACATTTTTTTCTTTTTTAAAAGTTAGTTGTTTTATATAGCTATACAAAGTTCTTAATGTTTCTTTGGCAATGGAATCTTACAACTTTATAAAGTTACCTTTGTCTATGTATTATGCATACACAGTTGACTGACAAAATTCTCTACTGTTCAGCACTCTAGGGAAATAAGCTACTCCAGAATTTGAACAAAAAAGAGAAAAGACACAAGTGCATATTCTCTCTCTCTCTCTCTCTCTCTCTCTCTCTCTCATTTTATTTAAGAATATAATAATCGGCCAGGCATGGTGGCACACACCTTTAATCCTAATGTGCAGGGGCAGGGGCTGGTGGATCTTTTTGAGTTCAAGGCCAGTCTGCTTTACTTTACATCAAGAGTTTCAGGTCATCCAGGGCTACACAGTAAGACCTTGACTAAAAATAAACAAATAAATAAATAAATAATAAAAATGGTTGAGTCCCCAAATGCTAAACTTTTCAGGACCCATCCCACTTTGCCTGTTGCCTATCTAAGTATATTCTCAGTCACAAAAAGGCCTGTCCTTCTCTTTGGCTTCTACATGAGCCATATGCATTTTTACTAGCATGCCCATGAGCCACAGCCTTGTAACAAATCATACAAATTCCTCCTGGCCTCACTCTTTGGTAAAATTTTCCTTGGAGCCTCCAATGTGCTTGTTCCTCTGCTTTAGAATACCCTTAGTTCTTGTGCATTCAGTGCGTATTTTAATTAATTTGATCGAATTAGATATAACTCTTTAGTATTTGAAGTTAAGCTATACAAAGTTTAATTAGAATTTTAACTTATGTCTGACTCCAAAGTTTGTGCCTTTTCTAATACATAAGGCTTTGCCTCTCATCCAATAAATACTGTTGAGATGCCTAAGAAGCCAGACTGTAAAACTGGCCTAACAATGCTTTACATTTAACTGGATTATCTTAGGTTGGTTAGAATAAAACAGAATCTTAAATGGCATTATAATTTGCAAACCTTATTTAGGTAAATTCCCTCAAAGAAACTTGGAGCAACTTTCAAATAAAGATAAAGATAATAAGCTCTTCTGAATGTAATTTGTCCAAGCTCTGAATCTATAATCAAACCTCACAAGAACTATCCTTCTGGGTAAATGCTACTTCTGAAACTGTAAACCTAAAGGAATGGCTTCAACATCTCCAAGTTCCTCTCAGGGACCACTCCAAGGTTAAGGTAAAGACATTAAAGGCCCTGTTTTATAAACGATTATGATGTTAATAGGGAATGAGAAAGTTAAAATAAGCTGCATTATACCAAACTCGTCCACTTCATAGCCATTCACAATCATTCTTGCTAGGCTGGACTTCATAGTGACGTTTGGGGTGTGTAAAGCAGAACCACTTGCCTGCATGAAAGTGTGCTTCTCTTTATTTCTAAATAGTATGTAAGAAATCAAGCTGAATCTTGAATTATTTCAGGTGTCAGTTTTTAATATGAAAATAAAGAACTTATATGTCCTGTAGACTTTTAGGGAGAATGGCTGCTTAATTCTAGGCCAAATAGAGAAGGGCAGACTGGGAAGAGCAAACTGTTCTTATCTCTATCATAGGACAGCGTTCGTCTCTCTTACCTTTCCTGTCTCGTCCTTCATCAACACATATTGGCAGACTTCCTAGGGCAATGCAGAAATCCAAACAAGAGAAGGAAGCACACTAAAGTAATGGAGGACAGGCTACAGGAGATGGACAGTGTCAGACATCATGTGGAAGAAAAGAAGGAATTATCACAGTTAGCCACTTGTTAAAGAGAAACTCAAATTGGTCACTTTAAAGGTAGAGGTAAGAAAAAAAAAGATCCTTTACTTTTTTTGTAACAAGGCTCTTTTCAGTAAGAACAGAGGAGAGTTGAAGTTAATTTGGAAATTTTTTTTTCAGAGAAACAGATATAACTTAGCAAACAGAACAAAGGGACAAAGGAGAAATAAGACTCTGGTTTAAAATGTTTATGAAGACGTATAATTATAGACTTTGAGAAAAGAAAAAAATAATCAAAACTGTAATGCAGAAGCAGTGGAAAATTATTCTGTTTCTTTTCCAAGAATCAGACTATTAACAGTCATAGGAATGTCACTGTTTAGAGATAAACATGATGAATGAGGACTGTGCATTTAAGTCTCTTAATTACGTGACCTTACAACTGAAACTAAAAGCATCACACTCCACGATGGGATTCTAGGAAATGAACACCCAAAGGAGTTCTGCCTGTCAGGAATGATCTTTTGTGCACATCTGAATGTTGTAAAATCTCCTCTGCTCCAACTCTAATACCCCCCACCTAGATACCACAGTGCTTGAAATCCCATCACTGGGAGACAAATTTCCGATCTGTAACATTTCCTCAATGCAAGCTGTTAGGAACATGTGAAGTTACATTAGCAGTGTGGTTTTGTTTGTTTTTATTTCTTCTTGATAGAGGTAGTTTATAAAAATGGACACCTAGATGGGTCTGGAGATAGGAAAAAGGGTAAAAGAGGATATGGAGACTGAAAAATGATTTCAATACCTTGAGTACAACCAGTTGCTTTGTTATGCAAATATTTTATGTAAATTTTTTTGCATGAGCGATATAGGCATTTCTTTAAAATTTGTGGATTTCAATAAAACTCAAAGCTAAAACACATTAGACAAATAACATTTTTGTCAAAGCTAAAATTTCTGCTGAGTTGAAAGTCAATGTTTAAAAATAAATTATTTTTTAAATTTAAGTAATTTTTGTCCATTCTGGTAACATCTGAATATCTAAATTTGTTAAATAAAATCCGTACCTCATATTCTTTTCTGCAAACTTTGGAAATATCATTCTTTGAAGATGCCTAAAAGCCAACAAAAATCTTCATTAATTTTCTGCACATGCTATTTAGCACAAGTCAGAAAAGACCACAAATTAGTATATGTTAATTGTTAATATAATATTCGTCATTTCATCAAGGAAAACCTTATATTCAAATATTTAGAAGTCCCTAAAATTCAACAAATCTCATGCAATGTTTTGGAATAAACGTCACCCTAGGACCTATTCAACACGCTAGAGCTTCAATCTAACTTTTATGGTTTTAATCGCACATAAAACATGGTTCTTTTGTTATTGTGGAAACTAGACGACTTTGAAGGAAATGTAAATCAGAGGACTTTTTTTTAAGCTGAATTCCACTCTAGTGAACTTTCTTGTGAAGCTTTGCCACAGCAAACTTTCTTGTGAAGCTCTGCCAGGGCACTTACAGTTTGCTTTTTCTTTAACCCTTCATATTTAAAGTTTTTTATTAATATTGAGCCAATTTCATCAGAAAAGTACCATGTATAAAGGAAAGCTAAAAAAGAAAAGGTACTACAGCAAACAGTAAAATTATTTTTATATTATTCTTTCAAAAAGTTTATGAAGAAGATGCCATCCTCTCCAGAGCTGAGAAAACTGATGCTCAGAACAGCAGCCAGCTACCATCACATCCAAGTACACATGTCCAAGTGAAAGAAGCAAAAACAGATCTGCTGCCAAGTGGTTATTCTTCCACATGCCATCGGGCTCAGTGTAGACTTTATTCCAGACTCAGGGTATCTGGTCCCTTGTTTCATTTCCTCCAATTCTGTCACCTAGCTCCATGCAGTTTAGAATACAATGATGATGGGGGGTGGGGAGGTGGGGTGGGGATGGATGGATGGACAGATGATGACACACAGAGCAAGAAGCACAATGGGTTGGCAACTGCTTTATGTCCCCAGGATTGCAGTGAAAATCCTGTACAACTCAACATTACCTCAATGCTTGGAGGAAAGCCACAGATAGCTAGGCCATGCAATGCCCAAAGAATATTATATAGGGTACAGAATGGTATTCTATTTAAAAGTGAAGATGGGGGTGAGTGTGGTGACTCATGAATGTAATCCCTGCACTCAAGAGGCAGAGGCAGAAGGACTGTTACAATCTGAAGCCAGTCTGATCTACACAGAGTTCCAGGCCAGTCAGGACTTCACACTGAGGTCCTGTCACAAAAACAACACACACACACACACACGTATGCGTACGTGTACCAACAACAGTGAAGGAGATACTGTTATACTCCAGAGAATTATACCCAGAACAAGCTGTCTAGCTAGTTTTAGACAACTATCTAAATAGCTAGCTTCTCAGTTAAGTTTACACCTACCACTAGGAGCACAGAAGCCAGGAGACCAGTATCATTAATTTGAGGAACTACTAGAAAAACATGCAGTGGGGAACTCAGCAACCTAACCTGAACTGGACCAGAGACACATCAAATCAAAGAGAAGTCATAGCTTACTACAGGAGTCACACTCCTTTTCAGAGCTGAGAAAGGATAAGAGCACATGCTTGAGTAAGGCCATGATGAAAGGAAAAAGGGAAGATGAACACAGAGTAAGGCACCTGTGTCACTGCTCTCATCCAACTAGATGCTAAATCTACATGGCCCCTTGGAGCTGCTAAGCATTGACTCAGCATGCCCTGTGCAAAGGACAAAAGGCCTTGATCCCAATAAATTGTTCTCTTGTGTGGCAGAAAGGAGAAATAATAAAAGAATTTAAAAAGGCTGTGGGTCTCACATGTAGTGGCTACAACTGAGAAACAACAAGCCTAAGGCTAAAGTTGCAATTTTTATAGGTGACCTCCCTGAAGCTATGAAGTAGGCAAGCCCAAAACATGCCCAGCTAAAAACGAAACTGTACTCCATGATGCTTAACAGCTTGACTGTCAGGTGTTACCTGCTTGCATGCTTGTCGACACTCCAAGGTAATAGCCAGCTCACAGCAGCCTAAGCCAACCCAGCCATCAGACTTCTTAAATACACCTGAAAAACACAATGTTGAAAGGTGTTTGGTCAGAAGTAACAACAAAGACAAACTGCACACTGAACTGTCTAAAAGATATTACAAGTCAAAGCAGGTAGGTGTTCATGGGAAACTAACTCAGACACCAGGGCCTCAAAATTACTATTAATTATTTATTGAAGTTTTGTAAATTTCATATAATATATTCTAATTCTATTTAGATCTCCTCCCCTATCTGCACCTCCCCTTACTGCCCCTTGCCCATATATATATATAT